ATCCTCGTTTGTCTTTTATGTCATCATAATATAAAGGGAGGCACGGTGGAGTAATGGATAGCAGCTCGGATTGAGAACCGAGTTCGAATTCCCGTCGAATTTATTACATTCACTTACCTACTAATGCCCTTGGTAAAGGTATGAATCCTCTTCTTCTCCGACCAACTATGGGTAAATAGCAGGACAGACCGAGTTCCGTAGGCTTGGATGGCAACTGGTCTACTGCAGAAAGAAATGGCAACCTACTGCGGGAAAAAATCTGCCTCGTCAGTCATGTATCGAAAGATACATGATCGCCTAAGCGTGTATCACGTACGGCACATAATTAACTGAATATCAGATAAAATATTACTTTCTTTAAAAAATTGCAATTAAAAAGATTATAATAAAAAGAAGAAAAATCGAAGAAGGAATTCATTTCTGAAGTGATGGTCTTATCACCATCTTGCTTAAATATGGTTGCCTATGAGTCTTGTGAAAGAAGTTTCGTTTGTTTTGCATTGCTAAATATAAAAAGAGACAAAAAATTAGACACTGATGAAAAAAATACTGCACTTGGAAAATGTTTGATGTTTCTTTCTCTTGAAAAATATCTCTATAGAAATCAAAGTTTTTCGTTAAAATCTATTTTCTGCAGCCATTTAATTTGATGGTCCTGAAGCTATGACCTTCATCATAAAGTGACAGAATTTTTTCCCTTTTAGGACGATGCCTACTGCGTGCTTTCTTTAGTGAGAGACAGCAAGCGTAAAATTAATCGATTAGATCTTGCAATATCAAATTATATCTAAAATAGTCCCGGGAAAACTGAGGCCCGCCTGATGATTTTAAGCGTCTCACAAGAGCGCAACAAACTTTATTTTTTTTTAATATCCATTTAAAAAAGCTTTTGCAGTTTGGGTTCCATGTTCTACTAAATAGTAATCCATTCGAAAGAGGAAATAAAGAACAAAGATGGAGACAATATTTAATAAGGAATCTCAGTTCTCAAGAACTCTACTTGCAAAAAAAAAAAAAAAAAATATCGGCATATACTACCGCAACTACCTGAAGTGTGAGATTTCACACTGTGACTATGTCAATGACCAATACTAAACATAGTGTAAATTGTTGTAGGGTTCTATGTACCTATGTGTACTCGAGCTAGAGATAAATATATGACGTCATTTCTGAGTTAAGAAAAAATGAATGTAAATCAAGAGAAAAAGAATTCATGAAACAAGTGAACGAGAAAAAATATGAGTTAATGAATCTTTGGTTTGGTTTTTGTTGCACGGCATATCAACCTCAAAGGGTTATTTAATGCCGACAATTTTTATTTTTGGTAATATTTGTTTGTTTTTTTTTTCAAAAATCTATATCTGGCAATATTTTTTCCTTCAAAAAATCTCTTTCTGGTAATATTTTCCTTCAAAAAATCTATTTCTGGAAATATTTTTCCTTCAAAAAAATCTATTTCTGGTATTTTTTACCTTCAAATGTGTATCGCTGTTAATTTCTTTTAAAAAAAAATGTATTGTTGGCAATATTTTTTTCAAAAATGTATTGCGGGTAATAATTTTTTACAAAGTATTTCTGGTATTAAAACCTGTTTTTACACTTTCTTAGTTTATTGACCCAAGTTTGGGGGTTAAATATTTACCTATAGCTGGGACCCTAACAGATGCTACCACCCCAGGTCAAGGTAGATCTTGGAACACCAGCAATTAAGAGGTAGTTCCACGCTCCCCAAAACCCCTTGATCAGATGCCTTGTTGTTGGATGAAGTTTATCGTTATACCCAGGACGAGGTTAATGAATGACAGTCATAGGTACAATATAAACTGACAAAGTGATCTAAGTACTTATATTGTGGGGCGCTAGTATGTTTGGGTAAATATTATTCACCCTTATGTTGAGGGAATGAACACTTTGGATACTGACTGGCTCCTGGGACAATTATCCTGTGAACAATGTGAGTCCAGGTAAAATTACTCAGCAAAATAACAAATATGAAACAAACGATAATGCATGTATTAACAAAAGGTATTACAGTTGTAGACAATTGTAACGAATAACATTGTATTTGTTTGTGTGTGTATAACAAGCGTATGTGCTATATGCGTGTGTGTGAGTGTACAAAAGTCAAAAGAGAGAGAACCATGAAAATGAACGTGTTCCAGTGGGAGACACTTTACCCCCAACGCGACTACATCTGAAAGCAAGAATTGAAAAGACCAAAAAGAGTGTGAGTGAGAATATCATTGCCTATTTATAGGCTCAAAGAGTGCCCCCTTGCGAGCGCTTTTGGCAGATCCAATTGGGGTAACCCACACCTACGTGCACGCCAACATATGACGTCATTTCTGCGCTTAGCCATAAAAGTCTCGCGAGATTTATCGATAATTTCTTATTTTTGTCAAAGATATTTTCTCAGCTGTACAAATCTCATTAATAGTAAGAAATGTATTAAATATTAGACTAATTTCTTATTCCTTTGTGCATTCTGTTCACAAAATGTCCGTAATAAGCAAATAAACTAAAAAGAAGCACGTATATATATATGGGTGTTATGTACGTTGTCGTCAGTAATTATTCTTGTTATCGGGATGCAGGCCGGACAATGATGCAGCCCTCCATGAAACATGTTTGTCCACGACTGATCTAAAAAAAATTAAATAAATAAAGCGTACCAGCTGGAAGAAGATGAATGTCTCAGTTTTCACTTCTTCTTTCGTCACGAGTGCCGTAGCTCATTAGGGTCAGAGAGACACCACATGTACTGCAGTTGTAGCAGTAAAGGCGTATCTAGGGCACATAACCTGACGGAACCATCTCTCTTCAAGCTGGTTTTAAGTTAAGAGTTTTTCTTCTAGAATGGTTGCTACCACAAGGCATAATAGCCAAGTCTATACCACTATTCAACCTATAGCGGAAAAGACAAGAAGGGAAGGATTCATGCCTTTTCCGAGGGCATTAGCGTAAAAGTAGACATAACAGATTAGTCTGAAATTTGAACTCAGCTGATGATTTCAATGTCCGCGCCAATAACCGTTACACTACCCACATATCCATTTTTTAAAAAAATCGGTATCACCCCAAGCAAGGCAGTAAAGCCACTAAGACACAAGTGGTTACTGTGTGTGGAAGAATTAGGAACAGAAACATTAATAATAAGCAGGAAGAGACAAGATTATTCAGGAGGGCAGTAAATAGAAATTGACATCGCACTTAAATTTTTGAAGATTAAACTTGGCTGGAGAGCATGGAACGGGAAGGGAGTTCCACAAGCGAGAAGTGCGAGATAGGAAACTAATAGCATAGAACTTATGGCTACATCTATCCAGCTCAACTGTAAATTGATGAGATCTCGACGCTTATATTAAAAGACATCATCCAAACAATTCCCATGAAAATATTTATAGAAAAGACACAAATAGACAAGATTACGGAGATGGGAAAGTGACTGAAACCGTATCGCCAGATGAGGACCGATAATATTGCTGATTCTTCTTTGGATGTTATCAAGGAGCTCAATGTAAATAGCAGGGGCACTGGACTATATGAGGCAGCAATATTCTAAGGGTGGGCGATACTGAAAATAAAGGCATTTAAAAAAGATTGTAGGCAAAAAATAACTTTCGGGAATGAATTCAAAAACGTACAAAATTAAACACTGAAAACTGAGACCTAAGAAGAAAAAAATGATCTGTAATAATTTTTTTCCGAGGGAGCAAACGAAATTTAACAAAAGCAATTAAAAATTGAAAAGACTGAATTTGTTCGCAAAAATAAAAATAAAAAAAAAATACAAATGGAGTTAAAAGAAATCGAATTATTTGCAAACATTTGGACTGGGCAGTGATTTTTGCAAGAGATGAAAAAATTACAAAAAATGCTAGTCTTCCATTTTTTTCAATTTTCTTTTTTTTTCGCAGGACTCTATTCAAACAAAATAAAAAGAGTTGGGCACAAACATTTTAAACCTCTAAAAGTCTGTCTACCAAACATAAATGTAATGCCGACCACAACCTGTAAAGGCTCGGTCTTTTACAGAATATTACCGAACTGCCGGCATTTTCGGAACTTTCCGAAAGTTGGAGGCGCAATAGTTCTATCCATTGATTGAATTGTTTTCATGGCAATTTTCGAAAATCGGAACGTGTGAAGAATTCTTGAAGGGAACTGCACCTCCTTTTGATAATGTTTTCTGATTTCAGCTTCCCATCTTTTGTTAATTTGCCAAAGGAATTTTTCCCTTTGGTAGAAACCATTATTAATTTTAATTTAAAAGCGAAATACGCAATGAAAAATGGGGGCTCTAATTTCTCCCTCAATCATAAACGAACACTCCTGAAAATATTTTAATGCTATATTCGCTATTCAAATGGATCCCCAAAAAGTAATTGCACTCCTATAATGAAAATTTTAGAGTTTGAAGAAAGGCAGAGATAAAAATGAAACATTGGACCTAAAGGAACAGAAAGAAAGAAAGAAAGAAAGAAAGAAAGAAAGAAAGAAAGAAAGAAAAATGAAAGAAAAATGAAAGAAAGAAAGAAACCAAGTTCAAGAAATGGGTAAATAAATAAAATCGTTAAAATATCAGAAAGGGAAAAGGAAATAAAAAGAGAAAAAAGAGAAAGAAAGATATAAAGAAAGAATGAATGAAAAAACAAAAAAAAAAAGAAAGAAAGAGGAACTGATAAAATAAGTGAATGAGAAAAGAAAATGTGGGTTAATGAATAACAGGCTGAGAAATTATAAGGAAGGAAAAAAAATTGGTTAAAAACTGTAATAAGAAAAAAGCGATACAACAAAAATGTAAATGGATAAATGAAGAAAGAAAGAAAGAAAGAAAGAAAGAAAGAAAGAAAGAAAAAAGAATAGAAACCAGGTTTATGAAATGGAGAAGAAAAAAAATTGAAAGAAAGAAAGACAGAAAAAAGGAAGAAAAAAAAGAAAGAAACCAAGTTTAAGAAATGGAGAAAAAATAAAATCGAAAGAAGCAATGAAAACGAAAGCTAAGCAACGAAAAGAAAAGAAAAGGAAAGAAAAGAAAAGAAAAGAAAAGAAAAGAAAAGAAAGGAAAAGGAAAGAAAAGAAAAAGAAAGAAAAGAAAAGAAAGGAAAAGAAAAGGAAAGAAAAAGAAAAGGAAAGAAAAGAAAAGAAAGGAAAAGAAAAGGAAAGAAAAGAAAAGAAAGGAAAAGGAAAGAAAAGAAAAAGAAAGAAAAGAAAAGAAAAGAAAGGAAAAGAAAGAAAAGAAAAGAAAAGAAAAGGAAAGAAAAGAAAAGAAAAAGAAAAGGAAAGAAAAGAAAAAGAAAAGAAAGGAAAAGGAAAGAAAAGCTCGTTTTAAGAATTGTTGGAAAAATGAAATTGCTAAAATATCAACGAGAAATAGAGAAAGGAAGTAAGAAAGAAAGATTTAGATTAGCCCGAATGAAGTAACTGGTATCAAAATGAATGAAATTTTTTTCCTTTCAAAATCATCCGTTCTTTTGTCAACGTAGCCACTATTTTCACGTTTTTTCTTTTCCTTGAACCGAGTTCGAATTCCGGTGGAGTTCGTGGCATTTACATTTTGCACAAATACCCTTGGGAAAGATAGGAATCCATCTTTTGTCTATTGATTAAATAACCGGACATATTGGAACCACCCTCTCGCATGAACCACAGTTTGGCTCTGTGGGTGTTGAAAAAAACACAAAATGTGCCTGAGCAGACGGGCATGTTCGGAAATGCGCAATCCTACTGAAAATGAACAATCGTATTGATTTCTAGTGTGCCTTCAAATCTGATAACCAAGAATAATATTTCGGTTTTTCCAATTGTGCACAGCAACTTTAACTTCAGCATCGGATGCAGACAGCTAACTTATCAAAAACGCTTTCAATTTCGCGAACAACGAAAAGTCTATGTAAATTTGGGGTTCGTATGGACGGTGTGCAACAGATGTGGACTTCAGGGTTCTTACCCTCTGCGATGTTTGTTCACTGTAAAATGGACTTGCATTTTCGTAATATAAAAAAAAAGGTTTTTCTTTCAGTGTTTATTTTTCTAATGCATTGTTTTGAATTCCACCATGTTTCACTGCTTTCAGTCATCATTGAGTTGCACAATAGGTATTGTAAACAGAAATCACGATTTAAAAAAAAATCTTTTTCATATTACACTAGACCAGTAGTTCCCAACTGATTTTGGGCCATACCCCATTTTGGTATTTCTAAAATTCTGGTGCCCCCCCCGCGTAATATTTAATTCTTACATGTATATCAATTACACCTGTACGTACATACACACAAAATATTTTTTCTGTATGCAAACTGTATATGCATCGTATGTATTAACACGCATCTGTCTATATTTCTGAGATGAGGTATTATGTACACTATTTACATTATTCGGATTATTGTCCTCATCTTTGTCGCCATATTTATTACAACGTTTTGGCCGTTGTACTTCAGGTGGTTGGAATGTCGAACTGAACCCTTTATTTCGCTCACTGGTGTAGACTGTTCTAGTTCCACGTGCCATGTTTGATGGATGTCAGTTATCTCCTGTTAATTCCCCTGTCCAAGTTCTCCACCGCCTTAACCAGGTATTGAACTCACACTCTTTGGGTCCTGTCACTGGATCTAACCAACGCCTTTATCCACTGTGCCATGTGTCATCATTTGCGGTTTCGACTCGGACTTCCATAAAAGTCAAGCCGAAACTATACATTCTTAAGAATATCTTTCAATCAATCCGTAAATATACTTATTGTCATTGCAAATTATTTACAGCCAAATCATTTTACAATTTCACTTAAAATGTTATGTCCCTTTTGAACGTAAGCAATCATTTGAAAGCTGAGATGACTTCTTGCAAGAGATCCTTAGTGAGTATATATGTAGATGATGTAAAAGTTTATAGGAACACCTCCACAAATCTGGAAGACCAGAATTTAGCAGCTGGTCTGTCCTCTGACCTAACCCAGGTGGCTGAATTGGGAAATGACTGGCTTGTAAAATTCAATACGGCCAGTACCAAACTAGTAACATACTACCACTACCAACACCACCAACGAGCAGACCCTTTACTTTCACCTCTCATGATGGATGGGTCATCCCTTTCCTTGAACGTCTATTAGGACTCAAGCTCTCTTCAGATCTCGATCCATTGATAAAGATGCTGGGGTTAGGAAATGGCTTGTAAATTTGATGGCCTCCAAAACGAAACTGCTCTCAGTTAGCCACCGCAGAGTTAATTCTTGACCTCACGCTTTCGAATGACGAAGTGGAACAACTACATTGAATCAATAGCTGCATCTGATGCAAAGAAAGTTCGCTCACTGTGCCGTGCCAGAAGGTTTTTTTTTCTCGTCAGAGTCCATTTTACATATCTACAAATCTATCATTCATCTGTGGATTGAGAACTGTTACCATATCAGGTCTGGTGTCCTATCTGTTCATCTTGAGGTTCTCGACAAAATCCAAAGAAGGATCTGCAATGTAATCGATCCTCGACTTCATTCTCCCTATACACAGTTTTTTTCTCTCTCACCTTCACTCTATATAACCCCACTTTTTATATCAGTGGCACTTCCGCCCTGCTTGGGGTGAAAAAAAAGTTCCACTTAGACAGCTTCTTCCCGATCATTACAATCTTGACCTGTGGGATATTATTTTATCTTTATCCTTCCTGCATAACCTCATGAACTTCACTTCTTGCCTTTTCTTGCACTTATACAACACCAAACAGTAACCTTCTATCTAGTGTGGCCTAAGAGGGCCTTCATTTGGGTGAACATTAGTATTAAAAAAACCTAGACATTTTAATGTTCTGGCAGGCATTTCCTCTTTTGTCCTTTTGTCCTTTACAGGCGAAACCGATTTCGAAACATTTCCAAGGGTGCAGCTGATGTCACCAGAGTAAATAAAAAAAAATCCTTTCTTCCTTTGCAGTCCGCCTACATCACATCAGTCACAGAGGAATTTATTAACACGATTATACTCACTAGCATCAATTTTAAGTCTCAATGGTAATATATATATATATATATATATATATATATATATATATATATATATATGAGAATCCTTAGTTTGAAATGTATATTTACTAAGAATGTATCTACAAGTTAAAATGGTAATGATGACTGATATAATTGGAAGCGACTGTTAAAGATAAGAACGGAAAAAACAGAGTAGCCTGATCCTTCTTCAGCACGTACAAGGCTTCATCTTAGTCTACGGAATTGGTCGATCTTAAAGGTAACGTTAGCTTTGATCCAGTTATTTCCAATGCGAAAATAATGGAGGAAATTAAAATCAGAATCTAGCAAAGCCCATTCAATTAGTAAAGGAGATGTCTGTCTTGGAGTTGGTTGATTGGATAAATTACGTTTAGCAGAACAGAAATCGTCTTGATTTTTTTAAATAAACCGGGTGCGCCAGGTAACTGAGAACTAATTGTAATTACCCCCCCTACCACCCAAAAAACCCACAAAGATATACAATGGAAAAATCAGGATATTTTTAAACAAAATTTATATACACTACAGTTCAAAAGTTTGAAGCCACCCCACAATTAACATGGGATGAACTTGACAGAAGAAAAAAAATAATGAAAAAGAACTCTTAGAGTCATAGAAAAAAAGAATGAAATCAATTATCAAACTTATACTTTGAGAAAATTTTACCACGAATGACAAACATTTGTGCTGCAGTAATCAAGCCTAAAGGAGCATATTTTGACAAGAACAAAAATGCTGTTTTCTTTTTTGTCATAATAAAATTTCTAATAAAAAAAATAATGTCGCACTATGTTTTAACCATGTATAATAATTATCTCTTATTTAAAGTACAAAGCAATTATTTTCTGGGCTAATTTAAAAAATCACCAGGAGTCGCATCAAACTTTTGAACTGTAGTCTACATGTCTGGATTAGGATTACAACGTTTTACAACCGCATAATATTTCCATGAACTTTTTGCTTAAAGCAAAGAAATGAATTTTGATTTCAATATCTTTTGAGAAAATCTTGTTGCGAAATAAAAACATTTATTTTTGCGAATGTAGCTGTATATTTAATACACATATTTCATAATACAAAGAGCTAAATAGCTCATAAATATTATAATAGTTGAACGTCACTGCGTATTTTTAAAAAAAAATTAACCCCATACAAAGCAATAAAGCCACTAAGACAAAAGGGGTTACAGAGTGTGGAAAAATTAGGAACAGAAACATTAATAAGAAACCGAAAGAGGAAAGAGTAATCAGGAGGCCAGTAGAGAGCGATTGAAATTGCATTTAAATTCTTGCAGATTAAATATGACTGGAAAAGATGAAGCCGGAAGGAAGTTCTACAAAAGAGAAGTGCGAGAAAAGAAACTGTTAGCATAGACTTTACGGTTATATTTATCCAGCTCAACTGTAAATTGATGAGATCTCGATGCCAGTCTAATACTATGTGTCGTGTCACAGGTGGTGCGCGTATTGACCTTTGTGAAACTTTGTGAAATCGGTTATAAAATCTAAATCCCTTTGAATGCATTCCGATTTAGACTTCTAACCAAAAGCAATTTCCTGGGTCTTATCCTGTGCTGGTCGTGGCGCCAATTGTGACGCCACCGGTCAGTCCTGGTCACGGCCGCCAATTGTGATGCCTCTAACCCTGTGCTGACTGCAGCACCATCTGTGACGATCTAACCCTTGGCTGGTTCGGATGGAAATCTGGTTTACCACGGAACCATATGTGGCACTAACCCCTCTGGCCGTCCTGGTCGCGATCGATGTCTGGTTAGATTCGAATTTTGATAAATAAATATTTTATTGTTCAACATGAAGCCTATTTAATTTCGTTTGCCTACACATGTAGTTATTCAGATATTCACATTTTAGATGATGTCCATTTTTGGGGACAACTTGTATTTATGTCCAATTATTATGCAACATTTTTTAATGGCTCTGCGATCTTTGTTGGCTGGCAAATTCGAGCCTGCGTCATATTCTGTGTGAAGCTCAGCAAATCTACTACCGATACACCACCGGGCTTTTGAACTTAATATTTCTTGGTCGGTCGAGGGTCGGTTAAAGATGACGAGCGTTCCGGGGGAAAAAAGCACCAGTAAAACGCCCGAAAATATGGAAAGACGTATCCATGAGGTCTGTCGCTAAACATGGCTGGAATCAAGATCGGTACTGGATGGCTATCAGGAAGAGACGTCCGCAGTGTTAGTATATATATATATATATATATATATATATATATATATATATATATATATATATATATATGATGTTCACCCTGTACAAAAACCATCAGCCACTCGAGATAGAGTGTTACAGAGTAAGAGGCACAGTTTATAGAGATATGCGGGGAAGATAACAGT